TTGACTGCCATCTAGTATAAGTATAGGGGAAATCCATGGGAGCAAATAGTAAGTGAAAACTGGGTGCTTGGGAATCTTGTGGGTGCAGATTCGATTCCTTCTCAAACTTCCTTCTTCTCTTCAATTTTCTTCTTTTTTAAATGGAGAGAAATTTCTAAGTACCTTGAAATGCGAAAAGTTGCAGCCTCTAAGTGGGTAACAAATCAACGTACATACCCCAACTTAAAGTGGTGAATATGGAGATTTATCGCTCTTCCATATCGCCATCCACTAATTCTTGTGATCCTTGACTGGTCATGTATTACAAACTCTAAGGGGCCGGTCGCACTGAGGGAAAATTTGAAAAAACCAGATGTTACCATGGACATTTGCCGCTGTGCGGGAGATTTGAGAGATTTAATCCACTCGATGAAAATCAGCTCGAGGCCTCGCTTTTCCGCAGAAGATTATAAACACCCGCGGCTTCCACTGGATTTTTTTAGTTTCCTTGTTTTTATTGCGTTATGAAGTGAAGCGATACTGTAGAGGCTGTGCTGATGCAGCTCTGGCCCTGGAGCGGGACTGACAGACTGCCAGGAGCGAATGGTGACACTCGCGTGAGTGAGATTTTTCTAATTGTGCGTATGCAGTATGGCGGTGATGAAAAGCAGAAAAAAATATTCCCGGTGTATTATCTGAGGATTGTCCCCTCAATGTGACCGGCCCCTAAGTGGGTAACGAGAGAGCTTGGAAGCTCAGGGCCCTACGCTATGCTTTTTTGCCTTGATGACCTAGACAAAAAAAGCATAGGGATGTTATAAATTCTTAAAAAAATTCTTTTTTTAAAGACATAACCTGGGATTCGAACCCGCACTATCGCGCGCCCTGCATGCATCCCCCGATACACTTCGCATACATACTAATTCTTCCAAGTTGCTTCACGTTAAGATCTTGCATTTGAAAGCCCTATTTGAATATACATTCGGGCCAGCCGTCTTTGATGGTACGGTACGGTACGGGATAGGTACGAGACAGGCACGATCGAGGGTAATACGACACCGTCTACCGCCTTTATGACGGCAAAAAAAGCATAGGGATGTTATAAATTTTTCAATTCTCCTATTTTTTTAGGCATATCCTGTGATTCGAACCCGCACTATCGCCCTACATGCATTCCCCCATACACTTCGCATTCATACCCATTCTTCCCAGTTGCTTCACGTTATGATCTTGCGTTTGAAAGCCCTATTTGAATATTGCGGCCAGCTGTATGTGGCCAGCTGTGTTTGATGGTACGGTACGGTATGGGACAGATACGGGATAGCGCCAGGCGGGACACAAACAAACAAACAAACACGCAAATACCAAATTAAAGCTGTGTGGACCCTGGCTAGCGCCAGACGTTACTGAAGTAACGCCTTCTGCATAGCTACGGGAATTAAAGCTGTGTGGACCCTGGCTAGCGCCAGACGTTACTGAAGTAACGTCTTCTGCATAGCTACGGGAATTAAAGCTGTGTGGACCCTGGCTAGCGCCAGACGTTACTGAAGTAACGCCTTCTGCATAGCTACGGGAATAAAGCAAAGTAAATACCCCAACGTTTAAAAAGTGGTTGATATGGGGATTTATCTTTTACCTTTGTTCTTTACGTCGTATATTCTACCTATATTTGATTACTGTGACACAGCGTGGTGCGGTTTGTCTCAGGCCCTTGTTCAAACTCTGGAAATACACCAGCGTCTGCTTCTAAAAATCCTGTTTCGCATAAATCAAACATTCTCCTCCCGACGTCTCTACAGTTTAGCTTCAGTATCTCCCCTCTTAGAGCGACACCAGCAACATCTTTGCATCCTTGTACACATGATCTTAGTAGACCTGGCTCCAAAACACTTTGCTGAGTATAACTGGTTTGTGTCCACCAGATCAACACGTCATTCCTTCTCATTACCCCGTGCCAATACCTCCCTGTTTCTGAAATCTCCTATCTTCTCTGCATACACTCTCTGGTCTTCTCTGCCAACTAGCCTTAAAGCATGCACAGACATTAAGGAGTTCAAGCTTCAGCTTCTTCGTCCTAAATAATCTCACCATTTTCGTCATGCCTCCCCTTGCAGTACTCTCTTTGTTTCTCTCCTTATTATTCAGTTCGCCGTGGTTGGCTACCACCCGACTTCTTATATATTGGCAGTCTTCTGACGAGCCAGGAGATGTTGAATTAATATTTATCTCTCTTCCATATCGCCCTGCACTAATTTTGTGATCCTTGGCTGGTCATGTATTACCCATATCGCCGGTATATCGACTGCTTGAATCGACTGGTTATATCGACCATTTAGGCGTTGCAATCTTTCGACTTTGGAGGGACTTCGAAATTTTCTATCCACTTCAGAAAGAAAATTTGGAAGAAAGAAGACAAAGGAAGAGAACAAGCAGGATTCGAACCCACTGCAGAATGAATCTCAGGCAAACTTTTATACCACCCAGCCACTGTGCTGCAGAAGCTGAACCCTGTTGTTCTTACAGTCTTGTACCCAAAATAGGCAGCATCTTATGTACACTAAAGTACAAATGCTATACTAAAAAGGCTAAAATAGCAGGATCAACTTTCGCGCTTATAGCAAAGGAATCGTGATAAATAGGATATTGACCTCGACTTCGGTCTATATGGGAAATATAAAACAGAGGGTGGTGCGACTTTGGCGATAATTGGGAAGCGTATGTTGCTCCCTATGGGGGAGCTCGCAGTTTTCCTGCCAACTTGAATTCTCACCTGACTGAGTCACGACTGTCATCCAGATCACACGAGAGGTCTATCGAACCGTCCACTCGGCAAACCTGCAAGAAAGCACCACTCCCTGCTCAATACACATAATAACATATTAGCTGTCTTGTCATTGAGCATTTGTGCTCATTTAGATTAGCAAATTCAAATAAAGTATACAAACAAACAAACAAGAGCACCATTTGAAGAGTGCTCTCCAGGGACAAACATCACCAGGGATACACACCTACGGAGACGCTCCAGCGCCGCCAACCCCCCCCCCTTGCACATAAGATATCAGCGTGTGTCAATGTCGCTCATGGAGGTGGTGAACAAGCGCTGAGGACTGTTGGTCATTCACAACGTTGTTGCCTCCAAGAAATCTAATTCGCAAGTCCGCGCTGGGGACGACAATGTGAAGAAGAGGCTGGTGCGACTTCGGCGATGATTGGGAAGCGCGTGTTGCTCCCTACATGGGAGCTCGCAGTTTTCCTGCCGACTTGAATTCTCACTTGACTGACTCACGACCGCCATCCAGACCACACGAAAAGTCCATCGAACCGTCCATTCGGCAAACCTGCAAGAAAGCACCACTCACCACTCCCTGCTCAATACACAGTGTTTCGGGGAAGTCAACCCTCATCAGTTGACATTGCGTAGGCTGAGGAAGATTGTGGCTGAAGAGCACCATAATTATGTATAGTGCTCTCCAAGCACAAACATCACCAGGGATACAAACTTACAGAGACGCTCCGTTTCCAGCGCGACAAACACCTCGTCAACACCAGATAGTAGCGTGAGTCAGTGTCGTTGTTGAACGGTGAGAACAGACGTCGAAGACCCTTTCTTACAAATCATCGCCGAAGTCGCAACCACTATTTCGTAACACTCTCGTTCTAGGAATAGTACCGAATCTAACAACACCGTCCTTCTGTGCCTGCTGAACGACTGCATCCCGAGAGCTGTTGAAACATGCTGACATGATAGTAATAGTAACCATGATAGATGCATCGTAGGAGAGCAGATTGTATTCCAAAGTATACCAAACCGGAGTGCTTCTTCCGTTGTTCATGCTTGCCAGTCCTGAAAGCCACGTTTATATTCTCAGCATGGACTGCTTGACGGTGAGATCCGTTTACACGCTCTTGATTTTTTTTTTACTGAATATCACAGTACCATCAGATGCTGCACAGCGGGGGCGGTGGCATATTGGATGGAAGTGGGGGGCGGGCAAAAGTAACTCCTCCGACCAAAGGTCTCGGGATCATCGTTACTCCTGTGCGCTGATACATAGGAGAAAAGAAACATGTGCATCCAAGATGGAAGCACCGGCTTTGCAAACGATAATGGGGAGAATTTGAGATTGAGATAGGACAAAACAATAGTAAAAGCAGTGCACCGTAGGAAGATGGAGTGAACTGATAATCGGATTTAAAGGCTGAGCGAAGGGGATCAAAGAGGGGTAGAAGGGAGCTGGAGCGCGGTCAGTATAATTACGCTGGTGTGTTGGCAGAGATCATAGCCTGTCTGTGGCCCACTCCCACTTGCTGCGCCGCAAGTGGTCGTTGACGTTTTTCTTAAACGTGTGCATACCTCTGCGAGAAGGGGGAGACTGCAGAAGGGTAGGTGGGAGCTGATTCCAAGTTGCGATGAGGGAGTGGGGATATGAGCGGAGCGTGTTGTTTCGTGCCTGAGGAAGAAAAATTGATGCTCATGCATTGTCACCAACAGCATGTCTCACACATAACCAAGGCCAGAACGAACAACATTAATAACAATCCGAGTAGCAAGAATCTGCCCAGGCATTGGACTATGCTCACTGCCATTTTTCGCTCCTTCCGTATTAACTTAAACTGTTTTCACTGCCATTTTAGCACCCTCCATATTAGCCCGTGTTGGAAGCCATTTTTCGTTCGTATTCTTCCTTTTGAGGTTGCGCTTGTGCATATTTTCCCCCTGCAAAAGGCTTGGGCACGCTAAAATAAGGGGACATACTAAACGATTATATACTCGCCTTTCGTACCGTGAAATACAGACACTATCCCCGTTTCGCGTCAAGCTAATTGTTAGCGCCTACATTGGTGTCTGCTATCACCCTCATTATCTCTTACTTTGGTTTCGTATAATAGTTCAATTGTGTTGTAATGTCCTTTAGTGCAGCGTAGCTACAAAGTATCAGTGAAGATCTAGTCAGTGTGAAGTGAAACATATAAGCTGTTCGCTACTCCGTCTCACTGCTGCTCCTTCTACTCAGCCAGCCATGTCTGTTCGTGTGTGGAGGAACCCCTTCCAAATGCGCGAGGAAACGGAACAGCCGTGGGTCATGAAGACTAGTTGCATAGTCGACTCGACGATCTACACATTGGGTGGTTGTCCTTGGATTAGTCCAGAGGGAATTCTTCAGTGCATACAAATACCATCGTTAACGCCTCGTTGTCCACATGATCCAGACCCAGAACATGACTTCAAATCAGTACAAATCAAATACGAGACAGCATGGTTATTGACCAATCCTAACCCGCTTCACGTCAGGAGTTGTGCTGCAGCTGCCGTCGGTTCTGATATTTTCTACTTCGGAGGATTTCACCAACCGCATGAAAACCTTACCTTCTGCAATACCGTCTTCCATCTTAATCCATGTACGCGGACCGTTTCTCAGGTCAACATTCGCGGCAGTTCGCCGACACCAAAGTCTAACGTTGGTATGTGTTCCAATGTGAAATGGAATGAATGCTATGTGTTTGGTGGAGTTGGGGAGCGTCCCTCGCAAACTGAGGGCGTTCAAACCCCAGCATCATACCTGGAAACAGTACGCGGGTATGTAAACAACGCAGTACATGTGCTGGACACAGGAGATCATGCTAGTACTGGTAGCTGTACGTGGAGAGAGATGCTATACACTGGTGACGCACCAGACCCTAGATATGACTCTGCGTTCACCAATCGCGGCAAGTTCGCATACGTCTTTGGCGGAGCTTGCAATTCGACTGAGGAATTGAAAAATGATCTTCATCGATTAAATTTAGAATCGACGGAGTGGAGTGGTGCTTTGCCAGTGACGGGAGAACTGCCTGAAGAGCGAAGTTGTGCTTCTTTGGCCCCGAGCTCGACGTCCTTACTGGTCCTCTGTGGTGGTTCTTTTGACAATGGAACGAGTTACCGCAATGACATTTCCATCTTTCACACTGACTTACTATGCTGGTATCGTGTGAACACGTCGCACATCCAGCCACCATTGGAGGCAGGGTATTATCCTTACTCATGCCAAGATCCCATTGGTGACGTCTATTTTGTAGGTGGTCACAAGCCGTCCTACAATACCGATTTAGCATCGACGATCGTCAGAGTACGTACGGAACCGTCGTCCTTACAGAATCTTGCTTTGCAGGTGTATGCCGGCGTAGCGACTTCAGAAGACGTTCAAAGCTTGCGAGTCCTGTTTCGCAGCGTTTTGCGTAAGATTCGAGCGCAGCCATGCAGTAGCTGCAATCCCCCTCACGCCTGGAAGTAGTCATGGTATTGAATGATGTAAACATTTTGCTTATTTCGCTGCTGGAAGCGCTGCTTTGGGTTCGTCGGCCTAGCTTTCTGAACAAATCTGGCTTTACTTTCACTCCCTCACCTACTCACTTACTCCACTTCAACGCACTTGCTAACCTAGCTCTCTACCTCTTTTCCTCCCTTTTTCTACCTTTCTAGAGCTCACACACAATCTCTTTTCTCTCCCCTGCCGAAGGTGCGCGTTGGACGCCTTGGTCACTACACTACTCGTCGAGGGAGCGTACTTCGCCTCACCTGCCGCCCGCCTTTTATAGCACCCACACGCCCTTTGTAGTCTATTATGTTCGTAGTAGGTTGTTGTTGTTCTCTTACGTTCTATATACATGTAGGTATGTGTACTTTCACAGAAAATGACTTTGCTTTGGGTTTTAAAAGCTGTTGAGGTTTAGAATGACCTGATTTTATATCCTCCAATGGACGTGTTTGTAATAGAATATAATAAGCGGCGCGGAGACAACATCATTAATATGGCAATAAACAGAATCAGCGAAGCGGACATTGGACGTAGTCATGACGAAAAACGAAATGGATAAAAAAAGTTTCCAAACACGTTTTCTAGAGACATTCATCAGGGAAAATACGTCTCAATAATGAAATCTAGCAATAAACAACGATATTTACGTGGAAGAATACGAAAAGCAGTATGTGAAAGAAAATAATAGTCCGTGAGGCAAGTGCCAGAATGTCAAATTGCCTTCCACCCCCCCCCCCCCCCCCCCTGTCCAAGAGAGGTTTGTTCGGCGTGGCTGGGTTGGCATTGGTTCACTGAGCAGCCTAGAAAATGTTGGCAGTCCAGGAGACGTGCGATAGCCTCGCTACGAGGCTTTGTTTCTTTCGTCAATTGTCGAATTTAGACGTAGGTTTAGCATCTAAACCTGTCCGGTTTGTCATAATCCCTTGACTGTAAAGTCGCAAGCGCTCGATATGACAAGGCTTGCATGGTGCAATCCGGTTTCATGCGGTGAAAATCAAGCGCGAGCGAGCTAAACCTTTTGCACTTTTTTTGAGCTGTGCACTAAAATTGTTGTTGCTGTTCCCAATTTCAGTTTAGTATAATACCTTTTCAACAAATCACGAGCTTTATTCACCTTCCTTGACGCAGAAGTAACTCTACATTCTTGTAGTACAGTAGGTATCGCGGAGTTGATGATTCTGCGTGTAAATCAACGATCCTGCAGCCATCTAACTAGTACGCCATTAGGGGGTAGAGGAGATCGATAGCAAGCAGCATAATCTCCTTCTTTGACCTTCCGGTATGCTGTGGTGATAACCGTGAAGAGTTGGCGTCGTCTATCATTCTCTGTTTAGGGCTAGTCCAAAATAATTTTGAATACTAAAGAAGACTCAGACCAGGCCACAACGTGGCAGACAACGACGGCGCTACGCCCACAGCGGATAGGCCGTCTGCGACTCGAAACAACAATTCTATTTTAGCTAAATGCACTCTGTGCGAGTCGCGAGGCGCGCTGAAACACCAGTCACGGTCCGCTTACCGTGCGCATTCGTAGAATTCGCAGTGTTGTAAAGCGTTTTCAAGACAAATAAAAGTGTTTTAGTGAATCGGCAGTTATTCGCGGCTTTAAATCCTGGAAATACTGCGTATTCTCGTGCCAATTGTCGAGCAGAAAACACCCCGTTGCGAGGTCGTCGCACGGTTCCTGGAACGCCAACATCGTCGAGGCAACTCAGTGAACCCATCCCTAGCCAACCACGCAGAGAAAACCTCTTCCACAGGGGGGGGGGGGGGTGGAAGGCATCTTCTTTTTTGAGCCGTTTCTGAGACTTGCCTCACGGACTAATAGGAGAAAAGAAGGTGAAGTGCGAATGACAAGAGAAGTGTGAACTTATAACAGAGGTGGGCAAGTGAGAAGTAATAACAATGTGATACTCAGAGAGGGTGAAGTGTAAGGAGTACACGCATGGATATGCTACTGAAAAGCTTGAGAAAGACTTGCACTCAGTCAGCGAGTTTCTGCATTCCAGAGAACTCAAATTAAACCGACCATAGTACTCAGTTTCTTGTTCTGCGGGAGCCCACGTTGCATGCATTCCGTGAGTTGCGATTCTGTGGCACTGTTGTTCAGCAATCATCTTGTACTAGGTGTCTTGGCATTTTGTTGATAAGCACTTGACATTCCGTCAGCAAGCTGATGCACTTCGGAGGAAGGTCAGTGCAAAGGTGAATGCATTTCCATGACGACCAGTGCAGCCAGGCGCGCATTTTATCTCTCATTAGTCCAGTATACACTGACATATGCTAGCAGTGCTTATGTGCACAGTCTGCGACACCATGCTGCGTCTGCGCGGAGACTAAACGAAACTAAACGGAACGAAGGACGCATATCAACAGATCTCATAATCTGTGTGGCTCTAAAGATTCGAAGATGGATTGGAGGGGAAACTAAGCGAACATCAATTGTAAAGAACCGAGTGCCTCAGAACTACAGTACACTACTTCGACCAAGATAATTTGGATTGAACAACAAGCAGCAGTAACAGGCAGCAATCTCACACGAAGATGGTTTCTCCGTGTAGGTATGGACGGCTCATCAGGTGTGCATATTTAGACTGGTAGGGAAAGCCGAGGATCTAATTCTAAGAAGAAAAGAAAACCAAAGAACATCTTTAGAGACACGCAAGTTGTGTGGTTTGTTGCTATGCGTCCTGGAATTGTGCTTTGACCGTTTTGTCTGATGGTCTTTCCAGTATCGTCCTCGACATACTTGTACATCCTTCACAGGTTGGACTTACTTTCAGCTCGTGCTTGTGTTGGTTGCGCTCACTTTCCCTCCTTATGTTATTTCTATAACTAGGAACCTTCCCAACGGGAAGGCCTTTGGAGTGCACAACCAAGGTGTGCTAGAGCTGATTGCCAGTTAGGTGTAGAATGTCAGTATTGTTTGTCAGTGTCGTACCATGTTAGCGCACGAGCTGATTGTACAGTAACTGGTGGTGTCAGTGGATATTATACCCAAACCTGTAGCTCGTCGGTCCTCTTGTCTTCTTAAAATATACTTTTGATGTGAATGGTTGCAGCCACATTGTAGTTCGACCTCTACACATCATAATACGTATATAATATTGCCTGAGTACGAGGTCAATATAGGAAATAAAAGCCGAGTAAAAAACTGAGGCGAATCTGAAGCCTCTTACGAAATTTTAAATTATAGTATAAAAACCTCCACTCATTTGCTTGTTCTAAAAAGCTGTTAATATTTCTGGCAATAACTCATATAAACAACCTGGTGCTATAAAAAACCTGGTGCTGTAAAAAAACCTGTATAAAAAAACCGGGTGCTATAAAAACCACTTTTTAGGAAAAATGACTGGAGTTTTTATGCTGTAATTAAATTAGACTATAAGCTTCGCCCTCGTGTTTACGGAAAAACCCTCGGCAAAAAACCTCGGCTTTGCCTCGGTTTTTGCCTGGGCTTTTTATTTACGTAAAACCGCTGGACTGCTGAACAATCGCATCCTCCGTGAAACAGCTGAGGTCACGTCACAGTCTCTTTCCGCCCTTTTCAACCGCTGCTTGCTGTCCAGTACTCAGCCCAGGGAGTGGAAATCTGCCGTTGTTGTACCTGTGTTCAAGGGAAAAGGTAATCCTTCTCACCCAGTCAATTACCGTCCTATATCGCTGTTAAATGCAGTTGCCAAATTGTATGAGTCTATGATTAGCCGTCAGTTTTACTCGTTTGTTGAGAGCCATAAAATTACCAGTTCCAGCCAGTTTGGCTTTTGTCGAAAGAGGTCAACAGTTGACCAATTGGTACAGCTTACCTCAATTGTTTCGCGTGCATTTGACTCTAAGTCTTCTTGTGACCAGCTGTTCCTTGATTTTTCTAAGGCCTTTGACAGAGTTAGTCATCATTTAGTTATTCAATCTGTTTCAGGTTGGTGTTCTCTTTCTGCCTGTTCTTGGGTGAAGGACTTTATCAGTGATCGTAGTATTTGCGTTCGCATTGGCCAAACTCTTTCTGACCCTTTGCCCATCACCGCTGGCGTACCCCAAGGTTCCCATCTCGGCCCGCTTCTTTTTAACCTGTGCATCAACTCCTTTCCTGATGCCCCTGCTTCTAGTACCCTATCCCTTTTTGCTGATGACTCTAATTTAATTCTTGTTTCTCCAGCAAACACCTCACTTCCTATCCATCATGCATTGCTCCAGACTGACATTGATAAGTGTTGTCAATGGTCATCAGCTACTGCCATGACGTTTAACACCAGTAAATGCGTCCACCTACCCTTTCAAAAATATGCATTAGCCCCCGGCCCGTCATCCCCCTTGACAATGAACGGTGTGCCTATTCAGAAAGGTGATAGCCACTGTCATCTCGGCGTGACTATCACTCCTTCACTAAATTTTTCTGACCATATAAAATCTATCACCCATAAGTTTCGCAGTCGTGTTTTTCTGTTGCGCCATATGGCCCATTTCCTTTCTGCTTCAACCGTGAATTTGCTCTACAAGTGTTACGTACGACCACTGTTAGAATACGCAGTCCCTGTCTGGTCATTCGCCGTATCCCATTCAGATTCGCTTACGTTAGACCGACTGCAAGCCGTTGCTGCTCGTTCATATCTGCTTTGTAAGACCCGGCACCCTCCTGAGTGGGAAACCCCGAAGCAGATTCTTAATCGTACTTGTGACTGGTCATCCCTGAAGTGGCGTCGTCAGATTCTGTCCTTGCTGTATTTTCATCATGTGTTTTACCAGTTTCCGTCTTTGCTAATTCGTTTCAAATTCAATGTATCCCTTAGTTGTCGTCACCCGTCCTCTATAGTTTTACCTCGTTCTGGCGCCCATTTCCTTAAATCCCCTCTCTTCAGTTTATCTGTGGAATGGAACAAACTTCCAGAACACATCCGCTGCGTTCAGTCCTCTGTCAATTTTTGCATTGCTCTAAAGGCTCATTACTCTCAGCATAGATATTCTCTGGCTGGAATTCC